ATGGTAGTATCGCTCCGTGAGGGTCCACCACTGCTGAATTAATGAAGAAAAAAATATGTAGAGAGGCTCTGTTTCCATGTTAACAGCACACCAAGACAGTTTTAAGTAATATTTAATCTGTAAAATAATTGGATAGGTGATGCACTTTGTACAGCCCATGATAGACAGCTATCTGTTTTTAATTTTAATTTAATGTCTGAACTGACTCCGGAGAGTCAAAGTGGGCCAGAGAAGTTACCACACAGACGTAGAACATTCATAAGCCCATTTATCATCGCTCTCTCTGCTGACCCGACTAGAAGTGGGTCCCTCCTCACTGTCTGACTCACAGTGTACTGAGAGCCAGTCCCACCTTCCTCTTTAAACAATAACTACTCATTCACTGACTCCCTCTTTACAGAAGAGATTAGTCTTTGTTCTAAACATTTTAACCTGTTACAACTCACATATACTATCGTGTCGTATATCTCGTGTAATATTGTTAATCAGTGTAATTCATTTGTGATAGTTAGATAATCCCTTATTGGATGATGGGCCTTTTATATTGTTTTGGATCAATTTCATATTCACACTCTGCACTAATGCATTGGTATCTATCTAAGATGAATTGCACTTTTTACACGGACAAATATGTATGTGAGATTATCATGTAGACACATTTTGATTTCATTTAAGGAAAATTAAAGGTATGAAGTGGCGTTTTTGACCATTGGTACTATACTAACAATAGCTGGGTGGCAGTGTGGTCATAAATGCACTGCAGCAACAAAGGCAGTAAAGAAGCAAACATGAATGCAAACAATCCAAAAATCTGCTTTTCAAATATTCTGAGACCCTAAGAATAGTGCATTTTGATGAAAACCATTGAATCTGAACATAATTTTAGTAATTTTAGAAATGTACACAAGGCAAATTTAAGAGAAATTAACAGCTTGATAGGTTAATCACACCCCACGTTGTTATGACCATGTTTTTCTATTTCTGTAGTTTGCAGCTTTTTGAACAATGGTTTGAACAATCTTTCAGACTGATTCTGGTGAAAACTGCAGATCATTTCTAACGCACAAAATTCTCTTTTTCGGGCAGCTTCAGATGCAAAAAAAGAACAAAAAAAAAAAAAAACAGATTTTGCATGACCAATTGGGATAAACACATTGGTAGTTTAGCACTAATTCATTCTAGATACTGAGTTGCAGATTGTCAGCTAAGATGTGACCAGCTCGGCTCTCATTTAAATCACATCGAGCTTCGGAGCGTCTGTTGGCAGCGAGGATGCTGTGACACTAGCTCATCTGTACGTCGAGGCTTATTTAGCCTGCTGAGAGTGAGAGCCTGCTGTTCGTATTAGATTCTGTCTCTGGCAAAGTGGGGATGATTAGATAAAGTGTGTTTGGTGGAGTGGAGCACTTTTTCACTTTACAGTAGCTGTGGCTGTGAATGAATGGAAGGAAGTGTTTAAGAGGACATTGTGCATAAATTCTTACTTGACATACTGTTTTTTTGAAAAGGAATTACTCCTAAATGCCGATGTACTGAGTGAGTTAAAGACAAAGCCGAGGAATTAAAGGGGAGCGGGTCGCAAAAGAAGAAATACAATACAATACAATTCAACACAATAGCTCTCATTTTGAATCCCCTCCCTACTGTAGCGTCCCCTCTGCCTGCACTTCATTCTGTCATAACACAATAACTGAGCTCTGACGTCTTAAAAGGCATTGCAGGAGCATAGAGGTGCTTGAAGAGAAAATTACAGCAGCTCACAGCGGCTGGAGTGAAATACCATTTTGTCTCACTCAAGATGGATTCCACAGTGAGATTTCAGAGGACCAGTACAGAATCAAAATGGAGAAGCCAGAAGGGAGGAGAGAAAAAAGGGAAAGAGGCTGTGTGTGTGTGTGTGTGTGTGTGTGTGTGTGTGTGTGTGTGTGTGTGTGTGTGTGTGTGTGTGTGTGTGGTGTGCGTGTGGTGGTGTGTGGGGGCAGTTGGGGCCGTGGCGTTTTTTGCCCCCCATGGGGTTGTGTGTGGAGTGGACAGTTTCTGAGGAGATGTCTGAATTTTGTTTTTGCTGCAGCATGGTAATATATAGTCTCCAGGGTTTTCACCTTTTTTACATATAGTGGTATTTATTGGTCAAATATTTCCAGTATTTTTCTTGCTTTTTTTGATAATGATCACTGCCACATATGATCAGCAGGAAAAAGTAGGTAAATATTTACAATAGAGGAAGAATTTATGAATTATACTGAAATGCAAAGCCATTCAAAAGATGAGATGAAATGAAAAATCAACTTCTCTGTGAAAATGGAGTTAAAAAGCAAAAGCATTTTTTAATTTTTTTTAATTTTTTTTGCATCTGGCCTCCTCAACCTCTGAGAAGATTTCCTCCCACCAACGTCTCGCATACTGACATGCATGCATGGCTGCCGGCATCCCCACACACACACTACACTCAGTCACACCCTCCCTCCCTCTCTTTATAGATTCCACTTGCTGGTTGCCCATCTAACAGCCCTGTATGTAAACCAGTGGAACCCCTTCAGGACATCAAATCCGTGGAATCTGTTGTCGGTTCTATCTAGGTCAATGCCTACAATAGCTGTGCAATTTTGTTTTCTCTCTGTATACCCCCCATTTGCTTAACCCCACAAGGTTGATTTTCCTTTGCATGTATAAACATCTGAAATGCATACACAATGTAAGCATATTAGACATGCTTTCATCGATACTGGTCTCAAGTGGAATATTAAAACATACAGTGGTTTGATGTTAACATTAGTGTAACATTATATCTAGGTTATTAGGTTTTTACACCTAATAGCTTTAGACTTTGGACACTCTTGTAGCACTGTAACTCAACACAGCATCGCAGCCCAACAACAGGAAGTGTGGAGGCAACCTGCAGTTATAGTGTGACATATAGTTGTTTTCTCTCTGACCTATAAGGGATGATGTTACGTGACCTAAGGGAGGTGGCATCTAATTTGTTAACCCATATAGAAAAGAGAAACCTCTGTACCTGCTTGTCCATGCATTTTTCATAGGATCTTGAAATATCTATTTGGAAGGCCATCCTCACCGACAGCAGTAAATATCAAAACTGCACCAGTGTACTGAAAATAGACAGAAATATGTGGAATTTATCACTTCAGAACCATGTTGGTGAATTTTTGCTTTTGTCTGACAGACCACCCACTTCTTTTTTTTTTTTTTTAATCATAACTTTAAAAAACACGTCACATTGTACATGTTTTACTCTCTGTTTTTAGAGAAAAATCACAAGAAACCCCACAGCTCCCCTTGTTCAACTTAAATGAATTACCCACTGCTAATCTGCTTTAGCAGCTCCCACACAGCCCCAGTTTGTTCTACTTTTGGATAAATCGCTGATATGACTGCCTTCAGACATGGGCTGCAATCAAAATCAAATATGCAGAGAGATTTTTTTTTTTTTGCTAATCTAAGCAGTCAAAAAATAATGTAAAAAAACATAACCTTAATCAGAGTCACCCAGGACTGTACCAGCGTTAGAGCCTCTGTAGGTTTCTCATCTTCTTAATAATCTTCATGCAGATGTGGTTAGATGTACAGTATCTTTGTTGGGCCTTCGTAAGAAGCCGCTTTCTGCCATTCGTTCTTGTACCGTATGAAAAACATCTTCCACAGACATGAACTGACCGAGCTTGATAATCTAACACAGTAACCACAAAGGTTTCCCTGATAATCGTTATTTCATAGTGCCAAGTTTTCATATTAATACACACATTATGTTACACTCTGCTACTGTCAGTCAAATCACACACACGCACACCCACACCCACACACATACAAGAAGAAATAGAAACCTCTTCAAGGGAATAATCCCTAATGAAACATGACACCTTACAAACTATATTGTCACATCCATGGCGTCTTGTTTATGACATATTTTATTAGCTTAGTGAGCAGGTCATTTAAAACTAGTAAAATATTTACACTGTGAAATGATGTTATATTAAGTGTTTTTGCTCTAAATGTTTTCCACCTTATATTTGTATTTAGACACACTGTGCATGACAAATTAGCAGGGAGAGATGCTAAGATGATGAAGACTTTTTAATGTGCCCACCTCTAATGTGTGCAATGGTATTTTCCTTAATCCCATGATGTCAGTGTGCATCATTTTTTCTCCTCGACCCTGTCAACATTACCTGTAGCTGTTACAGGGCTGTTTCTCCTTAGGCCTTAAAAGCTTCCTTAGCTGCCTCTGTCTTAGCATGCCCACCACTGCACAGTGAAGACAATCTCCTGTAAATTGCTTTTTCGATCAGTTTTGACATCAATCTGCTCCCATGGGAATGTGGGCATTCATGTGATGGCGGAGAGGAAGGTTTCATTCCTTATGGATGTTGACAACCCCACTCAGCCTGGTTTGATCTGCAGAATTAACATAATATTACCGTACATAGAGAACTGGCTCTGACAGCCAAAGAGGGATTGGCTTTCTATACCAGACATTGGCGCCAGTGTGGTTTCCGCAACAGCAGAAATCAGAGACAAGACAATACAAGCTGGTAGAGGTCAAAGATCTGATTTTATGAACATAATTTTTGCATTTTTGAAATTTATGGATATATTTTGTGTTCCATTATTTGGGTGACACAGATTTCACCACACTAATTTACAGCATTACTTCAGTTATTTGTGAGTTAGCAGTAGAACTTCACTTTACTCTAAATCCCTAGTTATTATTGTTTATTTACATGAGAGAATTTTTTTTTCTTTTTTTTTTTCATTTCACTCCAGTGAACTCGGTTCTCTCATGTAGAAATAAAGAATAACTTATAAATGTTTTGTTTGCTGTGAGACTCAAACTTTACCAGCACCCGATGGAGAAAGAAATCTTTCAGTTGTGCCGCAGTGAATAAATTCTTTATACTGTAAAAATTGTTTTGATATATACATAACAACCACACAACTGCTGCCTTTCATGTGTTTCCACTTGCTCTTCTTATCTGCTTCAGGACAAAGATATCTCATCACATCCACGGGAGCCTTGTATATTCTGGACGTCCTGCCTGAGGATGGGCTGAATAACTATCGTTGCACCACACGCCACCGCTACACCGGCGAGACTCGCCAGAGCAACAGTGCACGTCTCATAGTGTCAGGTCAGTAATGCATTCAAACTGGAATCAGTTAAACTGCAAAGTCTCGGTCCATACTGACAGAGTACTTATACTGAAACAGATGAGACAAATGGTACAAGGACAACATTTTGTATTGGATATTTAGGGAGTGCCCTTGGTCATCATTACATATATTTTAAAACCTGAACAAGAAAGAAGAACGTCTTTGAGTATTAACATTACTACCAAACTTTATATCAAACATAAACATGTGAAGAATTATGAAAGTAAGATCATATTTAGGATTACAGCCAGACCTACTGTCTGCTCAGTGTAGTTCCCAGTGAGTTGGACAACCGTCCTGCAGGTGGATCATTTCTAGGGATGACTACAAATCTTGCAGTCCGTCTTTGGACCAGTCAGTAACCAAACAATAATTGTATTGCACTGTATGAACCAAGGTAACGTCAACCTTCTCCAATTTCTTTGCAACAATAAAATCCTGTCTCAAATTATAGGAACACAGTCTGTTTCTCTCTCCTCTGCCTCACATAACAAAATATATAGTTTATAGAACTGAATCTTGACCTCAAGAATCAATATTGGATTATACTATCAAGCGCCTGGCAACATTCGCCACTAATTAACACTAAATTCTCTGCTCCTTACAGACCCCACCAATGCTGAGCCAGGCATCTTGGACGGCTTTGACCACCGAGAGGTGATGATTAATCATCGGGTGGAGCTGCCCTGTAAGGCTTCAGGCTACCCAACGCCCAAATACCGCTGGCTGAAGGACAACAGCCCTCTGGAGCCAGACAGCCGCTTCCGCCAGACCATCACAGGGTTGCTGATAGAGAGCACGCAGCCAAGTGACTCTGGGACGTATGTTTGTGAAGTGTGGAACAGTTATGGCAACGCTGAGGTCATGGGGCGCCTGTATGTAAAACGTAAGTCTTTTATTAAAAGGAGGGGAACCTCTGTATTATCTGTAGACTGGTCGTTCACATGGTGATGTGAAGGGATGGTGCAAATGAGAAATGGAGGTACTAAAGACCTCATGTCCATGGTCAGAGTGTCCAGTCCATCAAACTCTAGTCCATAACTATCATTAACTATGATGTTCAATGATCAATGAGGCAAAGGATTTTGCTGAGAGGCATCTCCTGAGGCAACCAAAGTTCATCAAGTAGCCACAAAACACATACATATAGATTTAGAGTTTATCCAAACTAGTGAAAAAAGCAAGAGAGACATCAGTGAAGACTGATGAATCAATTGTCATTGGTTTTGTTGCAGATCAATTTTCTGTTCTAGCTCTAATCCAGAGATTTTGTTTTTTTTAGAAATTGTAGCCATGCTAGCCACATCCAACCTGAACTTTTTCTTTCAATCTTCCTCTCAGTCCAGCTAATCAAGTAATCATTAGAGCACATTTGAAAACACAACATTTCTCGTATTTTTGTGTCATTAGAGCCGTTGAAGGCAGTGGTCAGCCCTCGGAAGGTGAAAGGCAGTGTGGGGAGCAAGGTGTCTCTGTCCTGTAGCGTGAGCGGCTCGGACGAGTACGAGCTGTCATGGTATCGCAATGGAGAGATAATCTACCCTGGGAACAACGTTCGTTTCACTGGGCTCAACCGGGAGAACCTCATCATGGAGGGAATGTCGAAGAGTGATGGCGGAGCTTATCAGTGCTTCGCCAGGAAGGGCAAGATGTCCGCACAGGACTTTGTGCAAGTCATCCTTGAAGGTAAAATGTGCGCATGTCATTTGTAGGGTGGAGCAAGCATACAAATGCTGACCAAAAGCCACACAGTGGTAGCTGTCTTATGCATAATCAATAAGTTAGCAGAGACAGGTTCGGGGCCTGAAGATCAATACTGGGTTTATGTGTTAATGACATCCTGCTGTGACTCTCAGCTCTAGTCCGCCGTTAGCATGATCATTCCAGACTTCACAAACACATACAAACACATGCACACACACTCTTGAATGCAATAGCTTACCTTGGCACCGTTGCTCAGGCAACTGTCTCCTGTGGCCAGGGAGCTGTAAAAAGAAGATATTGATAATCTATAATCATGTGGAACAGACCTAGATTATCAGAGAGCAGCAGCAGGCAGACACAGACATTTCAAAAGCCAACCGGCCTCTGCGTCTGGGAGGAAAGCTCCTGGATCACTCTTTATAATGAAATCTAGGTGTAGTGGTTCTGGCACACAGTGTCCTCATACAAAATGAAACATAAAGGCACAAAATGGTGAATTCTTGAAAAAACACATAATGTTTCCTGTACTTTTGCTGCCTTAAGACTTAATCATTATCTCACAAAAAGGGCTTTCATGACAAAGGTTTCCTGCTGACAGCAAACAGCACATCACCTCTCAAACACTCACAAACCCTGGTGTGCAGAAAAAGTTGAGTAATTAAAAACAGGGGTCTTGTGACTGCTATGCAAACCATCTGTGAAGTGGTCCTTAGGCTGATGATCATCACTAACACGTGGTCACATTTTAAATACTGTCTTATTGTCCTATCCCCTACCTTGTTCCACTTTGCCTGCCCCCCCACCCACCCCACCCCACAGATGGTACTCCAAAAATCCTGTCCTCCTTCAGCGAGAAGGTGGTGAACCCAAACGAGCCCGTCTTCCTGGTCTGCAACGTCAAGGGCACGCCACCTCCCAGGTGCACCTGGTCGTTGGACGATGACCCCGTCATCAAAGACAGCCATCACCACCTGGGCCACTATGAGACCCACGAGGGCCACGTGGTCAGCCAGCTCAATGTGACACACACCCAGGTGCAGGACGGCGGGGTGTACCGGTGCACGTGCAGCAACTCGGCCGGGGTCGTGTACCACCAGGCTCGAATAAACGTAAGAGGTGCTTGTCAAATCAGCTCCTCCAAGAACAACAATACACATACCTGTCTGTCTCTCAGTGTGTCTGTCTATGTCTCTCTGTCCAGCTGGATGTCTGGCATTTGCAGTACATGAGTGCTCTTTGTTGTTTGGTTCTGATTTTTTTTTTTTTTTTTTTTTTTTTTAGGTTTTTTTTGGTTTTTTTTTTTTTTTTTGTTTTTTTTTTTTTTTTTTTTTTTTTTTAGGATTTTATTGGTTTCTTTGCTTTTATGTGTGTCCTTTTGATAATTGTTACTTTCTCTTCATCTTTTGTTTTTCTCCACTATCGCTGCTCAGTCATTTTTAGTTCTAGTATTAAATCTTTAATCACATTTACATTTCTTTTGAGGTTGTTCTCCACTTATAGATTTTGCCTCGATTTTTGTGTTCTTTTTCATGTATTATTTTCTTTTTCCCTGCTCCTTGTATAATTTTGCAGCTTTGTCTTTTTCTCTCCAAATTACTACTGTGCTTCTCCTACATGCCTGTATTTTTAGGCCAAATGAATTATCCTGGCTTGCTGCACACAAGCATATCTGGATCTTTGGTTCCAAAATGGCCTGGTTTGTAAATAGCCAGAAGAAAAATATATTTCTTTTAGTTGCATGAATAAATGTATCTGTGGTTTGCTTGTGTGTATGCGGGTGTGTTCATGTGTGTCTGTGTCTGAGTATATTTACTCAAGCAGCCAATTCAGCTCTTCACGATCAGATGTTAAAGCGATTACCCTGTTTCAATTTTATGAGACAGAGAATGTGAAACTGTTATGTGGGTGAGCAGCTAGAGCCGAGTTATAAGTATCAGTAGAACAGTGTTATTTAAACATTCTGTTTTTCTTCAGATGGATAGCACACTTTAATCTCTACTCTACTTAGAGTTAAGCCGAAGATCTTGCAGTAAAACAAACACCAAAAGCTTTAAACAGCAGTTTCAGCAGTATTTTGGTGGCAGGTATCATATGTAAAGTTGAGGAGAGGAATTTTCTCTGTTTTACAAGCAGCTGACCTCACCTCGTTTTGATCCGAAATTTATTTGTAAAGTCGTGAGTCTGAAATGTATTGTTTTATTTACAATAGCAGCACACATCAAAAACTTCACTGCACAAATCGCACTTGTAATTTGATGTCCATGCCACTATCCATGCATCTGCTATATATAAGGTTCCTTTCTCTTTCCCTGTCACTTTTTAGGCCGCGCCAGCATTCGTCCAATGAAAAACATCACAGCGATTGCCGGACGGGATGCCTTTGTTCACTGCCGTGTGATTGGCTACCCTTACTACTCCATAAAGTGGTACAAAAACTCTGCACTGCTCCCATTCAACCACCGGCAGCGAGCCTTTGAGAACAACGGCACACTGAAGCTGACCAACGTGCAGCAGGTGGATGCTGGCGAGTATAACTGCAAGGTGATGGTCCAACCAAACAAGATGGACTCTCAGAGTGTTCATGTCCGTGTCAGAGGTAAATCCCATTCAGTTGTGTGGAGTCATAAAACAACAAATTGTCATTTTAATTGATAAAACAAATTAGATATAATGTCTTAATTACTAACTGGATCTTGTTACTTTTATACAAAGTCATGCTAGCTGTTTCACCCTGTTTCCAGTCTTTATGCTAAGCTAGGTTAACTGAGAGTGTCGTATTGATCTTGAATGAACATATTTCCCAAAATGTGAAACTGTTCTTTTAATACACACAAAGACGATTTTGTCCCTGTCTTATTATATATGGTGGTGAAGAAAACTCTCAATGGTTTCATGCCAAAGTTCAATATTTTGTGCTAATGAAGCAAAATTTGACAGAAAGTTTAAATTTGGAAATGTAAAGCTCATTCTGATGCACTCCTTTTTTCTGCCACCTGCCTACATGTGTATCTCAACACGGCCTCACTGGAAAAACCCATAATTAGAAAGATGTATAAGTACACACACACAGATAGACGGGTATATAAATAGATCTCACCAGACTGAATTAATCTACCTGATATTCCTCAGTACATCAGTGTAGCTTATGAAGACTGTATCAGTGATATTAAAGAGCTGAGTGACTGATCTCCACTGAGATCTTACAACCTGTAATAGGTAATACTAAAAAGGGCTTCTCCATTATGCCCCATTTCCTTGCCTCTGTACAGTATGTTAGGTTGTTGTCACTATATTACACTTTCCATGGAGCGGAAGGAAGCGGAGGGTGAGAGAGAGTGAGAACGAAAAGAGAGAGTGATGATATAAAGCAACACTTCCCAGTGGTGCTATAGTGAGCAAGTGCATTTGTTAATTTACTCTGCTCATGCTTAAAATGCGGAAGTGTCTTTGGGGATCCCTGGAGTCCATTATCTCCACTTTGTTGTGAATTAAATAAGCTGCTAAAGTGCTGCTTATTTCACAGTTATTTGAACTCACTGGACACTCAAACACAGATGACTTGTGTGATGGCTGGAGATTTCCCAGAGACTAGATCACAGGCAATTTGAATACATCTTATCGTAGAACTGTGTGATTATATTATACACCCAGACTGACTTTGAACACTTGTTTGTTTTCTGGGTAAGAGCTATAGCTGCAATCAGGGTTTTAGATCATTGGATAAAATGGTTGATTGCAGTAGTAGCCAGGGTGGCAGATCTGTAAGTATGTAGGTTAGTAGATTAATAGACAATTATTGATTGACAAACACAAAACATTCTGTTTCACTTAGGTTTCTTATCCCAAACAGCCTGAATGAGTTATTTTCTCAAAGGTATTTTTCAGTGTCTGTGTGCGCTTGCAGCTTCTTTTTCTGAAAGGACAAAATGTTCCAGTGGTAGAATGATGGGGACTTATTGCAGAATGCTTTGCTATTCAGGTCTTTTATGTTCCTTCAGTGACCTCTTTAAAGCAAGATAGTTAGAAGATTGTAGGATTATTCTGAAAAAAGGACACAGTACCTGCCACTGAATCCATGGAATTAAGATGGTCTTTGAAACTCAAGGCTGAAATCACATTTAATCCTTATTTCTCTTTCTCTCTTTCCTCTTTTTTCTGCAGTCCCTCCCTACATCCAACCATTTGAGTTCCAGCGCTTTACCATCGGTCAGCGTGTCTTCATCCCCTGCGTGGTCATGTCGGGTGACCGGCCACTGGACATCACATGGCAGAAAGATGGACGGCCAATCCCCGCCAGCCTGGGTGTGACCGTGGACAACATCGACTTCACCAGCTCACTGCGAATCTCCAACCTGACGCCCGACCACAACGGCAACTACACCTGCATCGCCCGCAACGAGGCTGCTGCCGTGGAGCACCAGAGTCAGCTCATTGTTAGAGGTGAGAAAGCAAAAAGGAACAGACTGTACATCTGATGGCACCTTGTGGACTGCTATAATCTGTAGTATGTGTGCCGATTTTCATTTTCACCAATCCCTACCGCGCCTAACTTCACTTATTAGTTCCTCCTGCCTTGCTGAAGTTGAAATCTACTGTTGTAATGTTTGTCTGGTATGAAAACCTGCAGACAGGTGCTCTATATTAAAGACACCCAATTCCATGTATAACTGTTGACTGTTGCTCGTGTCTGCGTTCGTGTCTATGTGCAGTTCCTCCTCAGTTTGTGGTTCAGCCTGAGGATCAAGATGGGATCTATGGGAAAACTGTGACTCTCAACTGTTCCGCTGAAGGTTACCCACCGCCCACCATTGTATGGGAGCACTCCAAAGGTACATTAAGCACAGCACACATTACCCACCGTAAGTGAATCTGCCATCAATAACAGGGACCTGTCAACAAATCACACTTTTGAATTCAAAAATAACAGAGCAGACTTTAGTCACCAGGATGCTCTACAAGTTTGGAACTACCATTTTCTGGATGCATCATGTCAACCATCATTCAGTGTAATTAATCCCAGAATTGGTGGATATAGTGTTATAATACACACTATGTTTAACCCTCACAAGACAAGCTGCAATTGCTGTCTGTCTTGAGTTTTCAACTCTACTGTCCATCCCATAAGACATGAATACAGGATTAGGAGTTCAGTTTTTTATTGCTAAATGACCAAGGATCATCTATGAGACATGCAGGATACGTCACTGCCACAATAGCCATGTACAGTACAGCAATAGATAGACTGAGATTGAGCCTCGATGATGTTTCTGGTCTATACTGAAGTGCAATTATTGAATTCGTAGCTTTTAGCATCGACACTGTCCATTTTTATAATCATTAAATGTTACTTCTACACAAACTTACTGCACATGTAAAGGAGAAATGCATAATCAAATGAAGAGGATATTTTTGTTACATAGTATGAAATATTAACCAAAAACAAGAAATGATGATTCACCCGTAAAATATTATTATAAGTTATATTTTCAGCCAGTAGCAGGAGTTATCATGCAAGGATCTTTTTGCCAACCACAGTACAGTATTATGTGCAGCTAGCTGGGCCACACCTTTAAGATACTTGTGTGTGCTGTGCTGTACACAGCTGATGTGGCAGTAGTATTGTTTTTGCAGGTGAGTGGGTTCCATTTGCTTCATCCACAGCCAGCACTTACAGTATGTGTGTGAATGCACTGATATACAAACACACACACACACACACACACACACACACACACACACACAGCCATCTGCACTGAAAACACAGGCTCGGGGCTTACAGGGTTTCCACCTGCATCATTAGAGAATCATCAGAGAACAAGACAGACAATATAAAAAAAAAACACACACACACACAAAAAAGACAGATATACAGAGGCAGTCAGAACGAAGCAGACAGACAGGCAGGAAGGCAGCAGGTGAGTTCAGCCACTTGAGCAGGGGCAGATGAAGAGGGGCCCCAGGTGTTTGCTCCATCATCCATATAACCAGGGATGAAAGCTTCACCAACACAAGGACAACAACCAATGAGGAGTGGTGCGTGAGTGTGTGTGTGTGTGTGTGTGTGTGTACTAGGCCCCATGATCAAAGGAATGAAAGAATCTGATCTGTTTTTTTTTGTTGTTTTTTTTACCCTTTGATGCGATTTGTGTGTGTGGGCGTGCATGTGTGTGGGTGTGTAGATGTGAGACAAGCAGGCCTCATGCCTGATTAGCACTGTCTGATCAGTATGGAGAGATCAGGCTGAGCAGTGTGTGTGTGTGTGTGTGTGTGTGTGTGTGTGTGTGTGGTGTGTGTGTGTGTGCGTGTGTGTGTCTACTCACTCATAGTGTTTGAAACAAGCTTTACCTATCCAGAGGGAAGCACCATATGGTTCAGTTGACCAGAACGCAGGTTGGTTTTTGGGGCCTTGGTCAAATATTTTTACCTCAGTTTTTCACATCTGGCCTTTTGCTCTATAATAGGTTTTTACTCGGGGTATCCGTCAGAGCAAGATGGCAATGAAAAACCACCTTGGAAAAAAAAATGTATTCAGGGTAGGTGGCTTGGGAAGCTATCGTTTAAATTGTTGTAAGCCAGAGTGCAGTTTGTCCACAGAATGACCGTCTGGCATGCTTTTACTGCAACAGAAGTAGCTAAGAGCCAGATGAGTGTCTCTGGGAGATATGGAACAGTAAGTAAAGGTCATCTGCTATTAGCATAACGACTCACACTATTTGGATATGCAAAATCCATAATTCAAGGAAGAACACATCTCCCTCCCTCTCCCTCCCTCTCCGAGCCAGGGGAGCAGGAACAAAGTCACCACTTGACCCTTTGCTTGCCACGGCCACTTGACTGCATTTTAATTAAAAAGCAAAAACCCACAGCTCACTAAATGGCCTAATCTCTACACGCTAACTTTAACACGAGCTAATGCAACGTCTGGCTCAGTTCACACATGTGTTTAATACTACATGAGCAAGGTGGAATACAGTGCTTTCATTACGATAAGAGACTGCTCTAAAGACGTTAGCCTTAGAATTCAGTGTCGGTGACATTTGCTGCAGATTTAAGGCAGCCATTGCAGGATGAGCTACTGTATTGTTTAACAGTAAAAAAAGAGTGATTATATCATTTTCTATTAAAAAGATAGGTATTAATTAAACGCAGGCAGCAAGCCAGAATATGTCAAAGATGCCAAGTTCAATTATTTCAACGACACTTCAGTGATGGATTTCTAATGTCAGTCATATTGGACTCGTGAGAACTGAGGGTAGACATGTGCAAAGCATTGTTCTGCTTGCTCTCAAACAAGACAAATCCATGCCTTTAGGATGAGGCTGTCCTCGACTTAGATTACATCAAAATGTGTTTTTAGGCCATTTATGTGTGTGTGTTCTTCTGGATCAACTAATTCAACCAACAAAAATGCAAAGGATGAATCCAGAGAGTTGATACAGAGGAATAAAGAGTCAGAAAAAATCCATGTCTAGCTACAGTAAACAATCTTTGAATCTCACTGGCCAGCTGAAGGCCAGCAGCCATGTAAGGCCTCCCTGCTCTCCTTCAGCCTGTTGTTCCTCTGCACCAATCTGCTGTCTTGTTAAACATGAGCATTATGTCTCTCGTGACTGCATCACACCAGCAGCTCGGTCCGCTTCACTCTGCTCAGCAGCTGTTTGGAGGTTTAAGGATTTAGGCCTGGTGTTAAGAAACATGTTTACAATCCTCCCTAAAACTGACAGGCTTTGTTATCAAATCTGTAAACATAGAGGCAAGGCTAAATGAATGCACGCACACACACACACACTGATAAACTGGAGATCAGATTACTGTATGCTTCTTTAGCGCCATACGTTGTTTTCTCTACTGAATTCGACATACTTGTAGGCATGTGTGCGTATTTCTACATACTGTATAGACTATATTAAGGTTGTATTTTATATCTTAATGTGTATATCCTCATTATTCTAAATGTTTCTATTCTGTGTGTCTCTCTCTCTCTGTCTGTCTCTCTCTTCCTTTGTCTTTCCTCCTCCTACTTGCACCAGGTGCGGGTGTCCCCCAGTTTCAGCCCATCCTGCTGAACAGTGGCTCTCGTATCCAGCTGCTGAGCAACGGCTCGCTGCTGATCAAACATGTGCTGGAGGATGACAGCGGCTTCTACCTGTGTAAGGTCAGCAACGACGTGGGAGCTGATGTCAGCAAGTCCATGTACCTCACCGTCAAAAGTAAGAGCCTGCGTCAATAGCAGCTGATGGGCAGTAATCAATGTGTATTTTAATGTATGTGTCAGTGCAGCAGCTGTTAAAGAAGGATATCCAGCTGTGGGGTTTACAGATAGCTCCGCTTAAAGTTGATCAACATTAATTTGGTAGAGTAGTAGATTATGGTTATAAATCATTCACAGCAACCCCTCTCTCCCCTGCCAAAAACCCTGTGATGAGTTTCAGCTAAATGAAAAAACACATTAGAAGCTAAGCAAGGCGCTAAAAGTGCCATGATCCTGATAATACTTGACCCTTAGTACATCTATTGAAGAAGTGGAGGCTTATGTCCATGCTCATAGTAACACTGAAGGACCAGGAGTTATTGAGCATTTTTCTGAACAAACACATCTGCAGAAAGCTTATCCTCCTGTTCCTTCCACTGCGTAAGCGTGTTCCTGTTTGCATGCATGTGCGCACTTCTCACTGCTGTGTTCACTGTCCCCGACTACAGGTCTCCCGCTTCCAGTGAGCATTAGCATGTAGCTCCCCTATAGAGCTAGGAGTGGCTCCTCATTTTCATGGTGCTTAGACATGAGTGGGGCTTATTTTCCCTTCGCCACTGTTATCAAACTGGAGCATTAGGAGCCCCGCTGACGGGCAGCCCTCTCTCTGTCTCTATCACTTCTTCTTTCTGTCTCCTTACCAGCCCAAAGTCTGATATGTGCAGTAGAACTCAAGTATAAAAAACACGTGACTGTTTGCAGTTGTGTGTATTTTTACATCAGTGTACATTTCATACTCGGAATGATATGAGTGTTTTATATATCTTGTCAAGCATGCATACTGTCATCAATACTGTAATCACAGCCATTGTTGCATATATAAGAACATGGATACAGTTACTTGGCACACACATTGAATTTGAATTTGTAATATGAGTCTGATTGGATACAACAGTAGAGGTTGGATGCTCTAAAAGTTCTTTCTCTAACCCTGATCTCTGACCTTCCTGTGAAAGGGCTGCCAAAAAAATAATTTGTGTAGAACTCAACTTCTGGATAAGTTATTTTGTTTTTTTAATCATTAATATCAGCGGGCATGTCACGGATATTCATGTGTCACTGTAATTAAGCCTCGCAGTGCACAAGGCACTGAGAACCACCACAGTGTGAGGCTGTCAGCGCTACAGCAGCAGACTCAGAGACGAACATGCTCTTTGTGTTTTCATAGGTCAGTTTGCTGACTGTAGCACCCAGTTGCTATGCAGCAAGTTGACCTATGGCTGTACTAACCTTTTTTGCCTCCATTTTCTACCAAGCAGAGAACAAACACTGTGGCTGCCGCTACAGTAGACTCAACTCTCAGTAGCATATCAAACTTAACATATGTTTATAATATAATATTAATATATATTTTTAAGAAATGTATTTAAACTAAAGAAAACTACAGGCTCTTGTGTCATACAATGAAAAATGTTCGTAATAAATTGGAACTGCATTTGTTCATGATATGCTTGTGCTCTATCTACTGGACTTCATCATATCAACATGACTCTTTCAGAGTCAAAGAGATGGCCTACCATAAACAGGTTACAGTGAGATGATATAGATCAGTAATCCAATCAGTGCTCTTGTTGCACTGAACTACAGTGCAGCTCTTCTCCCTGTCTCTCCTCTCTCAGTACGTGCATGTGTTCTCTTTGGTATGGTATTGAAGGGGGACTATGTAAATGCATTAGCACTGCAGATGTTTACAAGCCCAATCAAGTCTGGTGTTGCGACTGGTGTTTGTACATACAGTTTACACCCACTTAAAGAAGATTAGATGAATGTTGAAGTGTATTTCCCTCACACTGCTTCACACTGCTTAAACCCCTCTGCCGTTGGACATATGTGTGTGTGTGTCTTTTGAGGAGATGAACAAATACTACACACTGATATATAGGACATAATAAAAGGAGCAGTGGCTTATGTACAGTATATATAGTTTTGTAGGTGTGTATCTTGTTCTGATGTGAGAGATGAGGGCGAGTGCATGCGTAGTTTCAGATTCTCTTCAGAGTCAGTTGTATCATCTACCGAAGTAGAGGAGTGTGTGTGTGTGTGTGTGTGTGTGTGTGTGTGTGTGTGTGTGTGTGTGTGTGTGTGTGTGTGTGTGTGTGTGTGTGTGTGCGCCCGACATAGAGAGAGACAGTTGACCCACCAAATGCACACTGCTATTGCTTCAGGCTTAAGTTTCATGTTGTACTCAGCTCTATCAAAGTGAATTTTGACAGCTTCAGTGCTGAATAATGTAAGCTTTCTTCTTATAACTCGTAGTTTCATTAACATGAACTGTAATGGTAACATTATTTACAGCTTTTAATATTTATATCCAAGACATGTTCTTCCCCTTAAGATGAATTTTTTTCTAGTTGTAGTTTTCATTGAAATTTTTTTTTTTCTTACAAGTTGAACATGGTTGTTTACATAAGTAAGTAAGCAAAGTGGGTTAATACATGGTTTTCAATTAATAGCTATAATTCATTGCGTATCAGTTAATTTCTCCATTTGTGTTACGCGCACATTGACAGTATGACAGTATCTGTTCTTACTGCGGAAAAAAATCACACCAAAACATTTTTAAAAAACGTTTCCTTTTGCTTTTGTTGTTTTGTTCTGTAACTATTAAAGAGTTTTGACTCACCTGCACAAAGCCCCCTATTCCAACCCTGTGAATCCCTTCAGGAAATGTACAATCGTACAGTTACAATATTAGATGCCAGTTCAGTCCTGGCAGTATTGTGAAGAACTTGTAATTTAGTTTAGCTCTTGCAATATTTCTGCAAAACAGGTTAAACTTTTAGCATTCTTGTAAATTTTAACTATCACCTAACTTTGCTCAGATAACATTATTGAACTCTGAGCCTCTGTGATCTCATTTGATTTGGTGCTAAACACAGAATTATTGATATTTTTGAATTAGTGAGAGTTTGTAACATATAACTATGGTTATTTGCAGAGCACCAGCTACAGTATAAAATTTGAAAAATATTTTTGCTGCTTCATACAGTCAACATACAGTATTTCATATTACTGTTATAGATTCAATAAATAAGTTAAGTTCATTTAATATTTATTTTCTGTATGCAATTGCAATATTTCCGTCTTTTTTGCCACAGTGATCAGATCTTTCAAATCTTTACTCCAAGCCTTTGGTATTTGGTTGAATGATCTGGTGACATTCTCCAGAAAACAACTGACCACTAAAACAGCTAAAACACATGGCAGGACTCCATGCCAAACACTGTTCACGTTTTTACACATGATATTTGATTTTTGATGCCAAAGCCAATATCAGTAATCAAGAGTTTAAAAAATACGATAATGATACACTGGCTGATTGTCAATGCCTACATGACATCATTAGAATTACATTAAATGTGGGTACAATTTTCTATTTACGCTCTGTCCATTTACTCCTGAATTATATTTGTCATGCAGTGTCATTTAAAACCTCTAGTCATTCATGATTCAGTTAGCATTGACGTTGTCATCTTCATAGTTAGAGTAATTCACATTACAGGAAACAGCTGTAAATTCTTTGGGCCTATGATTACACCCTGTGCTGTCCTTCCTCTGCTGCCATTGGCTGCTCAGCCATTACATGCAGGCTCAGTCGCATGCTTGTCACTTATCAACCGATCACATTTCATGCCCTTTAAACCCCAAACTGTACTTGTACACGTCAAGATGCTTTCTGTAAAAGTGTACTTCTTCGCATGAGTGGTTCGAAAAAGGGAGACCATTACTGTTGCTCGTGTTTGACAACGCCATCATCTCCATTGCTCAGTGTTTTTCTGTGTGTTTGTGTATAATTACACAAACGCATTTCTCTTCATTTTTAAACACACAGTATGTTTGTTATCAAACATACTGTAAGTATATTTTATTACTTGAATATGTGTTTGCAGTCACATGTCTGTGCCATCTGTGCATGGGGTATTTTGTACATTCTGCTTGCATGTGCGTGTGTGTGTGCGTGTGTCTGTGTGTGTGTTATTAGATGCTAGAACTCTTGAGTGCGTTTCTGCTTCATTTAAATCCGTCAATACTTCAATTAGAAGCCGTCGAAGGGGCTCAAGGGAAGAGCAGTCTGCATGTTTCTCTGCTTTATTTGCACTCTCTGGCTGTCTTTGTTTCTTACATTTCCAGCAATGAGGGAAAGATTAAAAAGATAAATAACACATTATTTGTTTCATTTTATACCCTTGTTTATTTGCTGGCAGCTGCTTATGTCCTCAGAGTGTCTAAATCCCCCATTACCACAACAAAGCATACATTTATTTACCATTTACAGATCATTTTTTTTAGCTTCATTGAATCACTCTGTTAACAAAATTGTTTAATCCCAGATGAATATTAGAGTAATACATCATATTTTTTAAATCATTATACATCAGTCTGCACTGTTCCTCTCTGTGTCTCTGTGCGTGCTTTGATGTTAGTCCTCTTTCTAAATAACAAAGTCAGCACAGTGAATCCTGTAAAGTGACAAAGGAGAATTGTTCTGTCAGTACGATAGCAGAACCCTTTTTGCGCTTCAGATAAGTAAAGATCTTTTTAATGTGTGAATAGTTACAGGACTTCAGCTCTTAACACAGTAAACAGCAAGGTGTTCCTCAGGCTAAAGTAATCAGCCTGGTCATATTTGTGTGTCTGTTGTGAATCCGAGCAGGATTTAAGCATAACTCTCCAGCTTTGCAACTAACGATTGTTGATTAGTTTGCTGTTTATTTTCTTGATTAATCGATTAATCACTGAGTTCGTGAAATGCACAACTTCAGAAGAGTTTGAAAGGTGGTGTCTTTTTATTAACCCTCTCAAAAAAACAGTAAGAAACCTGAATGGATTAAACAGTATATTAGTCTGCTCTAAGACAAGCTACAAAAGTTAGCATGCCAGGTTAACTAGCTTACATGCAGCTTTAGCCTGGATCTTTTAGCGTGATATCATGCCACCTTCTCAGCTGGAAACATTAAA